GTGTGTGTGTGTGTGTGTGTGTGTGTGTGTGTGTGTGTGTGTGTGTATATATATAAAGTTAGGTGTGGTGGCACACACCTGTAGTCCCAGCTACTTGGGAGGCTGAAGCAGGGGAATCCCTTGAACCTAGGAGGTGGATGTTGCAGTGAGCCAAGATAGCACCACTGTCAGCATGGTGACAGAGCAAGTCTCTGTCTCAAGACAAACCTAAAAACAAGGACGTTGAGTTAAATATCTTACTTTCTTCTAACAATAAGTATCTTCTTTAATTTCTTCTAAGGTTTATTTGCCTCATGTGATCCCTAAAGTACTGCTAAACCTTCTGGAGTTTCAGTTTTTTCATTTGCAAAATAATAAAATTAATCTCAGGGTGTTGGCAAGAAACAAAGGACATTAAAGATTTTAAAATAATTTAATTCTAAAATATTATCCAAATTATGGAAGTTATGTCTGATTGCTCTACCACATTTCCTCTTATTTCAAACCCTTATTCATATTCTCCCACTAGCTGAAGAAATATTCTATTTCCTAAGAAAACTCAGTTGTGGATTTCTTTCCGCAGACTTGAACACATACAGCCAGAGGCGTGGTGGTTTTTATTGGTTTGTTTTTGATTTGGGTTTTTGAATTCGGCTCAGCCAGCATTCCATCATTTGCAAGTGAAGCATATCTTATTTACCAACATGCTTATGATCTGAAAGCCTATAGTGTGGTCAGTGTCATCACATTTTGAAATTTATTCTAAATATTCAAAGAAATGGACCTAAACTTTGGAGTAAATATCCAGACTGTGTATAGAATAGTGGGATGTGTGTCATTACCTTATAAACTTAAGTTTACATGTTTGGTTCACAAGACCTAATTGCTGTTATTATCACCACTCCTGTCTTATAGAGAAGACTTAAAACCAATAACTCTCTAAATAGCTAAATATAATTTGCTGGTGCTGAACTCTCTTAAATGTGCAGCATGTCAATCTGGAAATATATGGATGAAAATGTGATTTTTTCGGCTTCCTTTAAATACTTTACAGCTCCGCAGCTGTTTGCAGGTATTGTTTGTGGGTACTTCATCTTCAAGAAACGTTGCTATGAATACTTTTCCTTTGTGGAATGCTGCTGAAGACATTTTCCAAACTAGTGAGAAGAAAATTTGTATTTGTTGTGCTTCTTCTGCGTGTCAGGCATTGTCTCCTTTAATCTTACTGTAGCTTTGCCAACTATATTGTTGTGTTAGCATTGTAAAGATTGGAGCTCAAGGGTTAAATTTCTCATTGGTCACATACTTGATATTAGAGAAACTAGAATTGGATTCAAGAGTCAGTGACTTCTTTTAGATTTTCTCTTTTGTTTTATTTGGCAGAGAAAGAAAGAAATGCTCTATTAGAATCCCTTTGTGCTTTGTATGTTAGAACTTATCCTTTGGTATAAAATTTGCATAGAGTGATTTTTTTAAATAAAATAATGAGCAAATTGTACTTTTGGAAGATGTTTAACATGCTAATGCATTAAAAGCGGCTTTCAAAAAGCATTCATATGTATGTCTATACACACTCATGTATATGTGTGTGTGATAGCTTATATACCTACAACTTAAAGATGTATATGTAAGTTACATTTGTAACATATATAATTTGTTATATATAATTTATAGATATATACTATATCATAAATGTGATATAGAAAGATATATAATACAATAACTTATGTGTATTTACATATATATATGTTTTATATGCATACATGTACACTTAATCCAACATTAGCCAAGGTTTTAGAATAGATGTTTAAAGTGACTTTACATCAGCATACTAATTTTTGCTCAAAATAACAAATTTTTAATACCTTTAAAATTGAAAGGGCAATTATGTTTATGTAAATTAAAAAGCTAATTTAGGAAACTTGTCTGCAAACATATATTCCTTCCAGCAAATAGCACATTGTTATTAGCTGCTAAGTGCATAATCATAAGATTAGTAGTGTGAAATCATTTCCTTTTAAAAGCCTCCAAATCAACTTAAATATATAATTAAATATGGCAATGAAACTACCAACAACATAATTTTGAGATACTGAAGGCATATGCCATAACTGTACTGTATGTCAGTGTGCCAGCAGCACATATGGCTTGCTTGTTTGCCTCTCTGTGGTGTTTCCCTGCTATTGGCACAAGCAACAGCACACTACAATTCAATTCACAGACATAATACATACGTGCATACTGCATGGCACCTATTATATAAGGAGGCACTATCTTTAAATGGTTGGGATAAGAACATAGTAGCTATTTGGTTCTTATTTCAGAACTCATGGAAAATACTATCCAGCTGTCTTTAGAAGTTTTATATTTTTTCTTTAAACAGTATCCAAAATCTCCGTCATGACCAAGAAACCCTCGCATCCATAATCTGGTGCCTTCCTATCTTTCTTTTGCTACTCTTTCCTGTGCTACAGCCACACTGGCCTCCTTTTGGTTTCTTCAGTGTGCCAAGCTTTTCACATACTGTTTCTTTCCAGTAAGATGTACTTGATGGTACACATATATTAAAAAGTTCCAATTTTACAAGTAACAGGAGTCTTGGTTTTGCATAGATATTCAATGTCATATTTTATTAAATAGATAAAATATATTTTCTAAATTGTTATAAGGTATTTAAAATGCCATCTTCCTTTGAGGTTGTTCATTTGCCTAGAGTTAGAGTTGAAAATCAGTTCTTCAACTAGGTAATAACTGATTCCCATAAGAGTTAAAAGTGAGAATTTAATGTGGCTTTTATTTAATTGAGAAGTTCAAATATGCTTCTATAGGACACAAATACCTATAGGACATTTTTTTTTTTGCCTGTCAACATGACAGAAAAAAGTAGAATTATCATGAATGCAGTAATGTACATAGGGGATTTTATGTGTAAGACCATGAACTATTATTAGGCAGCAATCAGCATGAAGCCCTCTGTTAAAATGACATTCATTTTCATCAGAAACTTACTGTGTGCTACCTCTTTCTAGCCTCTTGTCAGTTTTAGCGCTAATGGTTTCCACAGAACATATCTCTCAGATAAATTTTAAATGCATTTTCTATCATCAGCACACAGCTTTGTTGTAATGTTACATATAGGGCAACCAGACAGGTAGAATCATGGTGGTTGTGAGTGAATATTCTGGTTCTAGTTCAGATGCTGTTACTTCCTAATATTGTGAACCTCATACAAATTTTAATCATTAAAGTAAGGATGTTAATAAAACCTTCAAATTAAGAGAGATACAAGAATTTAATGAGTTGATGGCTTTTAAGCATAATGTTTGGCACACAGTAAGTACTCAATATTTGCTGTTCTTGTATTTATAAAAAGTTCCTTTTCTTGTTGCAACTTAAGAATTCCTCTTGGGGATACAAGGGACTATCTTTCAGAGTGTGGTTTAACTGGAATCCTTCACGGTTTATGAGTATAAGATGTGCTGGTCCAGTCTGGGTGGCTAAGAGAAAGAGAAAGAGGTGCCTCTAAGAGATCAAGAAGAAACTAGGGGCTTTAAAGAGGGAATCAGGGGAGAAAAAGGGAGTCTACTAACATGGCAGGAATATGGGGCTTAAGTAGAAAAGATAATGAATAGCAGTTCCTTTATGATAAGAATGACTGGGAGATTTTAAGAATAGGGATACCTGGCATTTAAGTTATTTGCTGTAATGTAACAATCATTCTGGTTCCAGATTTTAATAGTCAGCCATACAAACATTCCTGAATATATGACACTTTGGGGAATGAAGGGATTTGTGTAGTGCCTAGTGGGGCAATCATGATACAACAAAAACATAGCAATGCTGAAAGTGAAATTTAGGGTGCAGTCAGAGAATGTAGCAGAAGTGGGAACCCAAAGCCAGGGCTGAAGAGGAAAAGCTAAATCATCATTCCTACCCGCAAACTGATCTTTGGAGGGTTGGGGAGAAATGCAGGGTCTCTGACGATATTTGAGAAGAAGGTTATGTCAGCCAGTTTTTACTTATCTCTTAAAAAGCTGGTGACCTTATCCAGTTGGAGGTCTTAGTGGCATTTAGGTTATGACATTATCAATAAGGGAGGTAGTGGTCTCTGGAAAATTCAAAGATAGGGTATGTAGAATGGTCAGGTGCATTGAAACTGATAATCATAGGATTCTTGGCATTAAGGACCTGGAACTTTCAAAACAATAGGAACCTAAAGCTTTCAGAAATAGGAATAGTTCTCTCCCTTTCCTGGTCTCTCTCTCTCTGTCTCTCTCTCTCTTTCTGTCTATCTCGTAATGTTTCTGCTTACTTCTGTGCATCTGTTCTCGACTTCTATTTTACCACCTAACTGCTCTTGCTCACTTATATTTGTTCATAACTTTTGCTTGTGCATATTTATAAAACTCTTAATGCGTGTTTTCAACTTTTTTTGGCCACCATTTCCTTTGGGATTTCCTAGTTCAAATAGCTGAGAGAGAACCTAGTTGTACGAATTCACTTTCCCAAGCCAGGCCAGGGCAAGGCTGTCCTTGAGTCTGAATTCTACCTGTTATAAGTGACTGAGGACAGACTGGTACCAGAAAACACACCTGGTATAAGCTCTATAATTAATCTCTTATTTTCAGATGTTAATTTTTCCTTACTAAATAACTACATAAGTTAAATTAGACTTTCTGAAATTGGGGCACATTTACTTGTGTTTGGACAAAATTTTTCTGGCCCATAGAATATTACAGAATAATGAATTTGCATGAATTGAACAGAACTCAAGTTAGTTGATTGGGTTTTTGCATTCTCTTTGGAAGTTACTGGCTGTGGTCAAAGCTTTCTAATAAAGATTATTCTTGTAAAGACAAAATGAATGGCACAGTCCAATAAGATTATTTCTAGGATGAAGGCTAAAAATAAGCAGGTAAACATCTGAACACTTCCCAGTTCTTTCTTTTCACACATTGCAAAAGAGATGCCAGAGAATCATTATCTGTTTCCTGTCCTCAAAACAGAGCCCACATATTGAATAACTGAGTGACAAGCAATCTGGCCTATCCATATGACCATATTGTTTTCATCCCCTAATTAGCCTAGTCCTCACTGTGCTGATGAGGAAACAGATGCATGAAGCAGCAAATTACCTTCATCTAGCCTCTGAACAACAACAAAAAAAGACACAGCATTTAGTTGTCTCATTTGAACGTGGGCGATTCAAAAGCAATAAAGTGGAAATATTCAAGAAGGGAACGTTGCTTGTAAAAGCATGTTTTCTTTTCATTTAAAAATCACCACCGAATATAGATTTGAATTATAGGAATTTGGCAACTTTAGTTGGAAATGAATACTTCTTATTAAAAGACATAGCAAGTTGGTTCCTTAATTGACATATGGATAAATAGATATAAATGTAAAGTGTTTGTGGTCCTGAGGGTGTACTGCACGTTTATCGTCCGTGTCTACTTCTCAGTCAAATTAATTGTAACGGTTCCTTTCACAGTCCTTATCTGATTACATTGGAGGTGTAATTTTGCCTAGCTATCAAAGAGGCAGAAGTATAGGAAGAAAAACAAGTGCCAGGGAGCAGCTAATGAGAACCAGTCAAACTGCCTGACAGGCATAGGCACTCTTTAAGCTTTGAGTTTTGCTCTTCAGCTAGACCTTTGTAGTACTTTGTCATTTTTATTTCTAGTTCTGTGACTTTTAGATCCTAACAAAGTTTTGAGTAGTTATTATTGTTAGTTCAGATTTACTGGATACTCACAAGTTGGCAAACATTATACTAACTGTTTTACATAGATCATTTAATCTTTTTAATTACACTATGATGTGGGTACCATTAATATACCATTTTATGGGTGAGGAAACTGAGGCTTAGGGAGTTAGAACGTGAAAGAATCAATGTCTCAAAGGCCATTATGAAGCACAAGCAGAAGCACAAAAAATAGTTAAATAAAATATTCATAATTTTATATAGACTATTGAAGTGATGTTGTCTTTAGGTTTTGCTTCATGATAATGCAAGGGTTATTGTATGCTCAAGTGGCTGTCTTAAAAGCATATACTTAAAATTATGCTTGAAGCCCAGTGAGTTTGAGATAGGAAAATATTTTCATGGTTCCCAGTTGCATAGTTATAAAACCTTCTAATTTGTGTTAATGTATATGTGAGGAAAGCAGTATTTACTCTTCATAAAATTTTGGTACCTTTTGCATTATTTCCCTTAACTTCTTATGTGCTCAATAGGATCTATAGGAAAGAACTCAGACACACAATCTAAACAAAGACATTACCGAATGATTTGTAGAAATCTTCACAAATAGGTAAAATAGTTGCAGTTTCATTAAATGCAATATGAAGTACCATGAATCAGGATAACCAATATAAACCATAATATTGAAAAGGGTAAAAGAGAATGAGAATGATATTTTGACATCAGGATATGTACATTTTAGAGTTTTAAAAAATTCCTATTCCATGTGTTTACATAATACTGCTATGTACATTAATTTGACAAGTTGTTTTTCAACACCTTCTATCTGCTAGGTATACTAGTGATGGAATAGCAAGCCAAGTATATGTAATTCCCAACTTAAAGCTTTTGCTCTAGTAAGGGAGACAAACTTTGTTATGAAACTTGTAAATTACAAAATCAGCTAAGTGTTAGAGAGTACAATGAAAATCATTAAAGGTGTGTGTGTATGTGTGTGTGTGTGTGAGAGAGAGAGAGAGAGAGAGAGAGAGAGAGGGAGAGAGGGAGAGAGAGAATATGTGTGTATGTTTGGTGGGGATGTGGCATGTTTTAATTTATGGGGCTAAGTATCTTTTCCAGGCATCACTGAGGAAGTAATATTTAAGCTGAAATATTCAGGATATAGCCAAAGAATAATTACTGTGGGTACACAGTCTGATTCTTATTTCAAAACATCCCTCTGGCTGCATTGTGGGGAAAGAACTGGAGGAAGGGAAGAGAGCCCATTACAATGATACAGTTCAGAGATGAAAGTGATTGGACTGAGTGAGGATAAAGAAGGAACTAGGGAGAAGTTGATAGATACCAAAACTGTTTATATATAGCATTAATAATACAAGTATTATTTTTATTTGAGTGAAAATAAAACTCCAATAGCCTTTTGTTCTGAAAATACACTAATTTGTAAGACTTAATAGCAGGGTTATATTATTTTTTCATCATCTTTTTAATTCATACAATAACACATAATTGTGTGTTTATTACATGTCACTAACTTAGTTATGAAATAATTCCTACTTCTTCACCTCATAGAATAAAAGATACATAAGCAGGTAATAATAACATATTCTTATCATTCAAATGATAGAATAATTATGTGAGTGATTAACCTAGCTTAATTGTGCAGGGAAAGTTTACTGGAGGAGGTGGCAGCAGAAATGTGTATTTGAGTATTTGATTAACAAATGGAACATTCTCAGTAGAGGAAAAATGAACACAAAGACAGGGAGATGAGAAATTTCGTGGCATGATTAGAGGCTAACATATGTTTTACAGAGAATGAAGGACGTGGGAGACGGGACTGGCTATGTAATTGGCAGGGCCTGGTGCAAGAAAATGTAGGGTTTCTTGTTCAGAGGTGATTCATGATTTGAAAGATGGTGACTGCAGAGCAGAGAACAGCCATGAGTGTGGAGAAGCATGGGACCCTTCCAAGCAAGGGACTCTGTGTGACTGTGTGACTCTGCACAGGTTGCCTGTCTGTAAAGCCGGCCTAGTGGGAGGTGCTAGTGTTAAGTTGGAGATGTGAACTATGAAGAAACAAGAATTAAGATTTGCAAGTCTTCTGCTTTGAGGGCTAGATGATATTGATGCAGCCAACAGAAATAGAGGCTATCAGAAGGAAAAGGGGCCCATTGTGGTGGCTCAAACTTTTAATTCCAGCCCTTTGGGAAGCCTAAGCAGGAAGATCTCTCAAGGCAAGGAGTTCAAGACCGATAGCTGGGCATGGAGGTGTGAGCTTGTGGTCACTGCTACTCTGAAGGCTGAGCTGCTGGGAACCCTTGACTCCACCAGGAGGTTGAGGGACAACAGAGCAAGAACTTTTCTTGA